CCCAAGCAGCTTTAGGAAGCAAGGTTTCCAATTTGCGGTAAGCACATATAGCAAAGTGATTGAATGTTTTTAATTCTGTACCATGTAGCTACATAATCGAACCTACAGTATTTGACTTATTGCGGCCTCAACCCTTCCTGAAAAATCTAGTTTCGGGATTTGGAGGAAGAAGTAATTAGCCATGTTAACATACTGCAGGTCAAGATATTAGTATGGCTTTTCATACGTATATTAGATATATAGAATCACAAAACAAAATCATTACAAAACTAAAATGAAACGGGAAAGTAAACAAACACTAAGCGGTCTGGTAAAACCTACAGGGAAATAACAACGAACAAGAAATCCAATTTTACTATCTACCCATCCCCGATCTTAATAGGTTGTTAAAGATAATGATCATTACCTGATGAAAATCCATTAGCTACACACTGAAATAGCAACCCTATTAACTTTGCTGCAAACAGATTAATTATTCCCTTGTTGTTAGTAAAATTATTCAGTTACTTTAGAAACCAGCATTAAAAAGCAAGCAAAAAGGAAGATTTCCTCTATGGTTTGGAGACAATTGAATATACTTATGCTTCACGAAATAAGTTTCACAAATAAAATGTTATAGATCCACGACTTCACATCCTAGCATCTAATTTTAACGATAAATAACAGCAAATAAAATTAAATTATTTCTTTTGAAACCAATATTAAATCAAAATGATGACCCTGCTCAGTGCAAATTCAACGCCAATATCCACGATGACCCTATTTTACATCTACAATAATACAATTTAAGAACACAAACTACGTAGCGGTCTTAGGTTTCTGATCCTTAACTAACAAGTCCAAGGTCTCACTCATAACAAGCATGAGCATTTCAAATGGCCAATCATCATTGCTTTTAATAAAGCATGTGTTACTTTAGAATAAACACAGATGCATTATGAAAAACGACCACCCCCCTCAGAAGTCTTCATCATAAAAGATATACCTAATATTGTTAACATAAGTATAACAATTAAATAACTTAATATTAAACTATTTTTCATCAAAGAATCTAAAATTAAGGAATTGTGTCTCATTTAACATAAGGTATAGCAAAAGGTTTAATTTATACTTAAGTAACAAAGTGCTCAGCAAAAACTATTCGACCCAGCCTACTGTAAATTCAAATTCCGTACCACAGTTTGCGTATATTAAGAAACATCTTTAGTATAATAAATATAGTGATTTATTATCTACGTTTTGTAACGCAGTATACGATCCAACACATATGTATGTAATCACCCATCTCTCTGACCGCCAACTGCTAGTTTTTCTGTTGTTAGTCCTTTTATCCAGCGAGATCGATTTAAATCTTGCAACAAATAATCATGAAAATGAATTGGTGAGTTTTATCAAATACTGAGCATTGATGATAACATAATAGGTTAAGCATTTAATTACATATATTCCTAAACTTTTACAATATTTTCTGGTCAAACTGCTCGAGAACTCAAAGTTCTTGAATACAAAACTTCTTACTATTAGATTTAGATCCATAGTTCAGAGTTTTTCAAACTGCCTATATCCTGTATTTGTTTTTCTTACTTACTAGTCAGTTTTATATCTTCTTATAATCAAAATTTAATGACATGAAGGAAATCTGTCATTTATGAAATCATAGATATGTCTAACAAATTACTTATCTTATGTATGACAGTATTGTGCGCTGCAGACTTTTGAATTGGCAGAAGAGTCATCGGAAGAAAACTAGTGGCACACTTTTACTAATCAACCCTATTTCCGGTCTGATACATCAAAGGCAGTTTAAGCAGAGGGACGCAGGTTTGCTTGAGATCCATATTTGATGAGAATAATTGAACAGATTTAATTTACTTCCTGTGAGAATCTTTTATAGGCAATTGCATTTTCTTGTCCCTGGTTGGTTATACAGGTTACGAGAAAGCGCATGCGTGTTTCTAAGATGTTTTATGCAATACTGTCAATCCTCGGTATGAGAGATATATACGGTGCTGATGTCCTGATGTTAGTCGATTTAATATCAACAATTCAGGGTTTCCTGTTAGCATTGATAATTACGTCAGAAAATTCATAAATATGTCATTGTGCTTAATGAGTAAATGAAGCTCTCCAAGTTTGAAAATGTAACAAATACAAGTTTTTCTAATGTTTTGGGAATAGATATACCTTCCTGCAATTTTCAATATTTTATTTGGTAAGAACAGGGGTACTCTGATGAACATGCAGACAAATAACAGTGACGCGTAGAACGATTTGAAACCCCAGAAGCAACTGTGTTTTCTAATATTGAATCTAAGTTCTAGAAGGGCAATGAGAAAATGAAATACGTTTATGTTCCAACTTTGGTCATTAAATCATGTATTGATTTTGGATAGGCAATTTAAAAACAAACACAAGAAAACTTTATATATTGAGACTAATTATAACAATACTGGTTTACAGCATGATAATTGATAAAAGTACCAATATAAACTGCCAAAGAAACAATTATGTTTTTGGTTACTTTTTAAACTTTCCTAAGAATCACGTTAAAGATTGGTTTGGAATATTGCATTAAATGCTGATGTCTGCATTAGCACACAAGTCTTAAAACCATAGTGTTTTGATATATTCAAGGCGTAGCTGACACTAACTTTAAGAGTTGCTAATCTTTAATTTTACAACGATTCTATAAAATAAATATGATTCTTTTTAGACTTAGAAAGAAACAACTTTTGATCTCATTTCTTAACTTTAGATACACTGCTCATCTAAAATTCTGGATTATTAGGCATTAGATTTGACACCAAAGATGTAAGCTTAATCTATAATTTGAGCACAAGAGTATTAAATCGAATACTAATCAATTGAAAAGCTTATTAAAATTTTTTACCCAAGTATTTTATGCAAGGTAGAGGAGTACTTCATTAGAACTTCCATGGGTCATTGACTCTACCTTAGACTAACTGGTTCAGTTGATTTTAGCAACATGGAAACCCATTCTTTAACGTTAGTTTAGATAGAAACCGGTTTTATATACTTTAATTACGATACGTTTAAGATACAAAAATGATAAAAATACAATCTGATTATTTATCAAAACTCTTCCAGAAACAAATTGATTAATTTTGTTTTCAAACCATGAAAATGAGTTGCAAAATAGGTGATGAGAAGGCAAAGTCCAATAACAAGAAGCGGTTATCTGAAATTCTTTCTGATTTAGCTAAGAAATATAAGATGGAATGTTTAACGTTTTGAAAGGAAAGGTAGAAACTGCTTTGTTTGTTTTTACTTCTCAGATATATTTTTATTCCTTTAAATAATTCGTGAAAATGCAATATCTGATTTATATCGCAATGCGATTACTAAGAGAATGAATAAAATTAGTTTCCTGCATGAAGCTTATTTGATGAATTTGATGAAATTGTCACGGTAATCAATAAACGGAAAACTTATAAATTGTATAATGACAATTTTATTTTAAATGAATATTTGATTTATGGCTGTGATGTTTTAGCTCCAATAGCATGCTTCATATGTAATGATAGCTTGATTATGACAGCAACCCATATAAGTCGAGTGAAAGGATAATTAAACATTGGATTAAGAGGTAATTTACCATGGGGAAATTATACATTAAACATTGGGTGAAGGATTAATAATACCAAAGGATAATTATACATTGGATTAAGATGTAATTATACCAGCCTATATACATGTGGATAATGCAGATACAGAAAATAATTGGGAACTTAATCTATCCTGCTGTATATCTGCGCTATTCCTATCATATATTCAATATTTCTGGTCCTTGAGGAAATCAATACAATGTCAGATGCTCATTTTGGTTGCACAAAATGAGTGTGTACTATTGATACAATATCTCCTTTTTGAAAGTGTTGATAGAAATGGCGGATATAGAGGAGTTCATATGGGCAATGATTTAATATTGAATTTATGAAACGGGTTGTATAATTTTCAGCTTTTTGTTCCATTTATACCATTTTAATATCATGATATTGGCCTTATTTAGACAGTCCCAACCATTTCCCCCCAATTCCATTTCGTGACTCAATAAAAGAAATCAAGAAGGTAGATTGAACAAAATTTACAAACGATCGCAGCCAATCATTGAAGACAATATTATCAAATAATATCATGGGCTTAATTTGACCAATCAAAATCACATGAAGTAATACGTAACAAGTTGTCACGTCGAAAATATGAAGATATAAATGATATGGGAAAACTATAATTAGGTGATAAATAAGATTTAGTGTGCTTATGCTGATTTTAGGAGGGTTAATCTCTGTGTTTTATTGCGTTAATAGACATTCGATGTATTAACATTTAACGTCATACCTGAGAGCATGTTTAAAGAAAATATCTACTCATTTGTTGTTAATAGAACTACCACAAGCACTTGCAATATAACTCCAATTCTGACCAATAACTCGTTATCGCTTGACTTATGCAATACGAATTTCTTAGGAAAGCAATATCAAAATGTTTTGTCTGCATTAAAAATACAATATTTAACATATGCGTTCGTAAAATGTGGGGAAAAAGTAATCGAAGTAATCGACAACAATCAATGTTTATTATTAAAAGTCAAACGAGAAATAATAAAATCAAGAAAAGTTCATTTTGACGGGAATATATCCTTATGTAGCGTAACTAATTTGCTGACAATGATGTTTTAACAACTTGCCTTCGATTCTTTAGTCTTATGCAGCCAAAGGCATCCCCAGCATGTATGATCGGTGATTTAGGCATGCGCGTAAAAGTTTATTCCGAGCTTGTCCGTTGATACGTTTCCATTACTTTTACAGTAAGTTTTAGAAAAGTGATTACATTGTTTTCTAAAATGACCTTTGAGGAGGCATGCCAAGTGTTAATTGTTCTATTATAAAATTCAGAGATGTAATTCGTATCACTGTTAACAAACTCATTAAAAATAAATTAGCATAATGGTGGCTATATACTATACTATAGTATTGACCGCTTCTGTGGCCTAGTGGTCAAAACGTCCGCTTCGGATGCAGGAGGTCGCGGGTTCGAACCTCGACAGAGTCATACCAAAGACATAAAAATAGTGCTAACAGCTGCCTATTGAGGGGTTAGTGTTAGGACTGGTCGGCCTGCTGTTAGACTAATGTGACTAGGTAGGACCGCATTTTACATATTTGCGGCATGATGCATCAGTGCTAAACAAACTGCCACACCGCAAACATCGTAGCGAAAAATGGAAAGTTGTTAAAGCTACATTAAAAAAGTTATAAAGCACACACAAACATACTTGTCTAGTCTAATCTATGTAGAATATGACCATCTGCATTGAAATATGTCGTGTAATGTAAATGTTTGTAAAAATTAGTCAATACATTAGCAACAAAGAAGTAAGCAGACACTTTCGATGAGAGTAAACAATGTTATCATCAAGACATATTCTTGACTATAGTGGACAATACGAAAATTTATAATGACATAAAGTACTATTTGGTATTCAACAGCAATACAGCAAAAAAAGATACATAATATATTATATTATATTATATTATATTATATTATATTATATTATATTATATTATATTATATTATATTATATTATATTATATTATATTATATTATATTATATTATATTATATTATATTATATTATATTATATTATATTATATTATATTATAGTATAGTATAGTATATTATATTATATTATAGTATAGTATAGTATATTATATTATATTATATTATATTATATTATATTATATTATATTATATTATATTATATTATATTATATTATATTATATTATATTATATTATATTATATTATATTATATTATATTATATTATATTATATTATATTATATTATATTATATTATATTATATTATATTATATTATATTATATTATATTATATTATATTATATTATATTATATTATATTATATTATATTATATTATATTATATCATTTGAGCTGGTTAGTCAGCAAAGAAGATGCGATCATAATTAGGGAATATCACGGAAGAATTTTAAGAAGAACAACTAGCATTGGAAATAATTAAAATATTCACAACATAACAAGAAGGCCAATTAAACAGTAAATGTTATATGGCCTTTCCATTTGTAAATATAATTATATATAATCTGACACTGAAATTTCTTCAAATCAGATCCAAAAAAAGTACTAGCATAAGCAAAGAACTGATCTGTATAGCAAGAAAAGATGGAAATACTGTGAGCAATCCGAATAATATCTTTTTTCCAAAGGTATATAAACTTTACCTAGGATTATTGAAACGAATGCTTTTAGTATTTTTGTAGCCAGTGCAATTGATATTAAAATTCTATGTGTTATTCTCTTTAGATAGCGGTTATCGCCAAGGTTAAGTAGGATTGGTGAATGAGATTAAATGGTGGCATTAGTACTCCTTCATGAAGCAAAGATACATTGACAGAATCAGCTCATTAGTTTATTATTATTCGACTGAGTTAAGCAAAGAAACCAACTTCAGGTTCTCCTGATGTTATTGGAAATGTTGTAAGCTGCAATTTGAAGACCAGATGTTTCTTATCTGGACGAACGGGTTTACGGATGTAAGCATTAGTTGTTTTGTTGCTTGCACTTTGTGATCGATAGTGTACGTAGAAGAATTATAGGTTCGTAAACGTTTTCAATATGGAGACTATAGCAGCAACTATTATCAAGAGAAATGATTGATTATTTTAAGACAATTATAGGTTTTGCAAGTTCACAATAGGAACGATGTCCACCCTTTGTAATTACTATGTGTCATCTGAACGTTGGAAAATTGGATTTCATTTATCAGAACTGACAATAAGACTATCGTGATTATAATCTTTCTTCTCTACCTAATATTTACTGACCGTGACTTCATTTTTCATCCTCTCGAGATCTCTGTCTTGATATCACAGATTCACTTGCAGAATGGGGAATTATGTTCATTTATACATAAGTATTTATGATAGAGTTTAATAGAAAATATAATGAGTATTTCGATATCTGTTGGCTCGAGTCCTTGGATTTGTGTACTTTTTACTACAATAAAGAGTACTATCAATTTTGATAATTAATTTACTTAAAACCCGAAAGACGCTTTTAGCAAAAGCAGTATAATTTAGATTTGTTTTTGAAGGTGTTGTGCACTTTTTAAACGTTTGAAAATGTTTTTTTTTATGTCTAAGTGATATTCTTATCCTCCAAATATTAATAGCTTAGTGTGTTGAATAGTGAAAACAAACTGCATCACAGATATTTAACTTCCAATTTGTGCCAACAGATACGGTGTACCTACAATCTGTAGACTTGGTTCATGCTTTTTAATATTTTATTAATTCATTGCTATCCAGAAAAAAATGCAAGTTCCTTCAGAAGTTTCATTTGCAAATTGGTATCCTGAAAAAAATATTTCTGTTCAGTAGGTTCAGTTGCACGCATTTTCTCATGAAATCTGCATGTTGATTTATCCTTCTCGGCACAACTAAATCAATAAACAAAACGTTTTCCACGGTGAAATTATTTTGTTTAGACAATAACTAATTCCATAAAAGTTTTTCAAATAAACCCATCATCATCAACGAAGTTTTGCATTTTTCATCAAGCATCTTCAAAAATAATGGACTACTTCCTAATTATAGTAGCTATCCCCGTCTCGAAGGTTTTAGAACAATAACAAAATACTGAAAGTGAGACCAGGGGAGGAGAAGTGTTCTGCGACCGGGCTTCTGTACAGCTTCTGTACCACTGGCCAACAGTGCAATTGTCAGACATACTAAACCTAATAATACCGAACAAACCTGTAGTAGCTTACTGGAGACCAAAAAAACCTAAATGACATCCTAGTCAGGGCAAAGCTAACGCCAATTGCTAGTCAAAACCAACCTAGTCAATCTGGACCCTGTGGCGATAAAAGATGCAAAACCTGTCAACATATGATAGAGACCAAGACATTCACTAGCACAGTGACTAAAGAAAAACTAAACATACATGGTCTAAACAAAACGAGCAAAACAGAGAATGTGATTTATCTATCACATATAAGATCTGTGGCCTTCAGTACGTCGGAGAAACTGAAAAGCTACACAAAAGGATAAACCTTCATAGATCTGATTGGATGACAAAAAAAGCTGTACAGAAGCCCGGTCGCAGAACACTTCTCCTCCCCTGGCCACACTTTCAGTGATATAATACTTATCGCTATTGCTAACAACCACAGCTGGAGTTCCAAAACCAGGAAGGAAAAGGAATCATACTGGATACGCCGCCTTAGAACATTGAAACCAAGCGGTCTAAACCAAAAAGACTAGAAAATGAAAACTATACACTAGTAGAATTTAAAATTTTCTAAATCTTCTTATTATCCTTCAATTTTTACTATAATAAAAACCGGTATAGAAACAAATATCCGGGATATAATCTGCGTTACATAAATGTACAAAAGTAAAAATAGATGTCGCTTTGACTTGTAGACTTTTAGGGAATTATACACTGTTTTCAGTTTCCGCAACTAGTCTATACAAGCTGGTTGTATTTATAGTTTTAACACATGTGGAGACAGCCATGTAGAGGTTTACAAACACAACGTTTTTGTGTTTATTTGTTTGTCGTATATATATTTTGTATTTGCCTTTGAAAAAGACTCATTAAGAGTCGGAAGCGCTTAGGCTAGTTAGTTAGTTGTGTTACGTTGATTTCCGTCATTTCCGTCTTGGCTATTACAGTATCAATAGCATTTTACCTTCTAAATTATCTGTCTGTGTTTCTAACTGAACGTTAAGGGCTGTTACATTCTATATCGATGATAAGTTGGATTTGTTGATGGTTGGCAATACTGTCTGTACCATGGTAATGACCACCATGACTGAATGCCAAAGGTCTCGTGAGGCATGACAAGCGCACTTTCAGCACGCAAATCTTTTTTCAGGTCGTACACCTTTGATTAACAACCGTAGGTGGAGAATAAAGGGAGCTATTGAAAAGGTTATACTGACATTGGTGTTCCCAAATCAGTTTCTTCTGCATTTATATAATTTATGTATGACATATTAGTCCATAGCCTTGCGATAAATGATCATTGAGCCTAAATCGCACCATAAAAACCCTTAGTAGTGTGGACGTCTGTTGGGTAGAATGGGCTGTGAACAGGTAAATTTGATTTTACCAATGTTCTTAAGCATAATATTACCTGGACCAAAGTAATCTCGTGTGAAAAAGGATTAACGTTTCGTGTCGAACAGACACAATGTGAAACTAATTTTTAAAACGTATGTTGGTTTACAACTAGATCAATATAGAGACTTAATACACGTATTTATACGTCCAACGCAACTCCTCACTAATATGATAATTTAAGTGTAAGATACAGTCAACTTAATTAACACGGGAATGCTATTTTCCGGATAGCTTTCGTGATGTTAAAGATAGTGAATGTATTAAAAGTTTAACGTGTTGGAAATAGTACAGAAATCACATCATCACATACTGGAAATGACATAATATACTCAAGGTGTCTACCGAATAAATGAATCTTGCTCAACAAATTACCTCATCCCATTCAAATAAATCCAAATATGTAAAACAAACGTTTAATTTAAATAAATTTATTCTGCAAACGAATTAATACAAAGATACAACATTTGATTTTGGGGAGATGGCGATACTGAGAATACTGAGAATTATTCATGAACTATAAAAAGTGTTGATTATTTAATTTAATTTTAATTATTTAATTTTGATTATTTAATTTTAGTTCTCAAGAATGGTTCCACATCCAAAACATTTTTTCCCAATATATCCTGTTACATTGGATCAACAGAGACGTCAAGGTAAAATCATGGATCAAGAGAGACGGCAAGGTAAAATCATGAATCAACATAGACGGCAATGTAAAATCATGGATCAACAGAGACGGGAAAGGTAAAGTGTAATTGTTAAAAATAAGTCTTCCAATCTTCCACATTTAGCATTAACTCTTCCTGAGTGGATTGCTGCTGTTCCACAGTTGGTATATTGCTGTTACCTGTGTTGTAGTTGTTGATAAATTTGATATCATAGAC